CAACATGGTTGCATTAAGGGAAAATCTTGCCTTTCAAAACTTTTAACATTCTCTGAAAAGGTTACTGCTTTTGTAGATGAGGGAAAGGGTGTAGATTTGATGTATGAGGATTTTCAGAAAGTATTTGTCAAGGTGCCATTTAAAAGGCTTGTAAAAAAATTTATATCTATAGGTGTAGGGGATAAGTTAACTAATTGAAGAGTGCCTGGATGGAAGAGAGAATAGGGTTGCTATAAATGGAGTTCAGTCAAACTGGATTAATGTCATAAGTGGGGTACCTCAGGGCTCAGTCTTAGGACCTTTGCTCTAATTGATTTATATCAGTGACATAGATGAAGGAATCTTCAATAAATTACTTACATTTGCTGATGATATTTAAGGTCTTGGGTGTTGCTATTTGTGGAGAGGATGCTGCTACTTTACAAAAGGATTTAAATCATTTAGTGAGTTGGGCAAATACATGGCAGATGGGTTTTAATTATAGTAAATGCAAGATAATGAATGTGAGTTATCATAATTTAAATTATAAGTACAATCTGGATGGAAATAACCTTATCAGTTTCATGAAAGAAAGGGATTGTTGTATAATGGTTGACCAGTCTCTTAAGCCATCCAAGCAGTGTGTTGTTGCTAGTGGTAGGGCAAATAGGATTTTAGGTTGTATGTACAGAAATATTGAATATAAGTCTAAAGAGGTTATAATTTCTTTGTATAGGTCATTGGTTAGGCCATATTTGGAGTATTGTGTTCAGCCTTGAGCTCCTTACCTTAGGAAGGACATTGAATTCTTGGAAATGGTTCAGAGAAGGGTTACTAAAATAGTGCCTGTGATGGAGGGGTTGTCATATGAGGATAGATTAAGATCTCAAATTGGTTTCTCTTGAGAAAAGAAGTTAGAGGGGATCTGACTGAGGCATTTAAGATTGTAAAGGGAATTAATAGTGTTGGTTCATCATCTTTTTTCATACTTAATTGCAAGAATAGTAGGAGTAGAGGACATGAATATAAATTTTGGCAAGGTAGGAGTCATCTGTAGCTAAAACAGTTTTATTTTTATAATAACGTAATTGTCCTCTGCAATGGGTTGGCTTTGGATGTTGTGGAGGCAGTAAATTTAAGTGAGTTTAAGAGAAAGCTTGATAACTATATGAATGATAAAGACTGGCTTTTAGAATTTTTTAAAAATTTATTTAATAGTTTTAGTTTAGTTTAGAGAATGGGACAGTCAAGATGGAACAATAGGTCCCTTGTTGTCCCTAGACATTATGTTGTCTTATATTTAATGGTTTGAAAGAAAAAAACAACAATGGATAGTATTTTTGTAAATTTTAATAATCAATTAAAGGTAATACATCCTCGTCTGTAAATTTTTTTTTTCATTCAATGATCAAAAGTTACATAAGAGTGATGATAATTAGTTGTCATCAAATTAAAGTTCTTTGGATTTTGGTTTCTCGTTGTTATCCTAAATGTATTAGTATCAAGATTGATATTTTTATACACTTAATTTATGATATCTGTTAAGGAGGATCACTAAATTGTATTAAAACATAATTTATTTATAGTTAAAAAGGCTATAACTTTACGTCCTAAATCATGTTCCCAAAACATGTGGAACTTATCTGTGATGCATTAATTACTATATGTTTCTGACCCTTAATTTCTAATAATTTCTGTTTTGATGTATGCACAGTTTCCCAGCTACCTGTTGAGATAAGAAGGTTGTTGAGGTGGAAACTAAGTACAATTACACCTGTGTTGATTCGTCAAACAGTTGTTCGTTCAGGGTTTAGACTCACCAAAAGTAAGTGTTTGTGTGTGCACTTTTTGTATTTTGATATGAACTTAAACAGTGGTGAAAGTATATTCTTTTTAATACTGAATATGATAAAATGTATGTTAAGCTAATTTTGCAAACAGTGTGTTTTTGAGTTAATTAACATGTGATAGCTTGGAATTATAAATGAATAGTAAAAATTATCATTTGACAACAGTGTGGATAACCTGAAATAATATTTTTAAGCAAAGTATTGGTATTGGAGTTGATTATAACACATTTGTTTGCCAAATCAGGAAGGGTCAGACATAAATTGTTTCTGTGAATCTAATAATTCTGTAGTGATATAATCAAAAAATTTTGATAATTTTCTGTTACAAACTTCATTTACTCGTAACTGTTGTTTCAAAATAAGTACAGTAAAGCTACTTATTTAAGCATTTGTCCATTGGCTCTTCTTTAATCAAGTACTTAATGATTATATTCATTTTCCTGCTATAATTTTTTTCATTTCATAGTTTTTAACTTTTACATTAGAGTACCCATCTTTCAATCATCAACCCATTTTTATCCACAGTGCCTAAACTCTCACTAAAAATGGTTTTAGTTCCCTATCTTATAACACGTATCACTTTCTTCAGAAATGTTGTTTTGAAAAATAAAAATAATCAGACAGGACTTTTTCTTCAATGGCACCATAATAAGGTAAACGCAGCTACTTCTAATGGTAATTGCATCTGTAAGTTTCACTGCTTATAAATAACCATTTATTTGTTATAGTCTTCAAAAAATAATAGTTGTCTTATGTTTGTAATAGAACCATCTGTATCACAGCAAAATATAGTATGAAAGCAAGTGTTTTACACTTACGTCTGTTAGTAGATTTAGAAAAAGCGTCAAAATGTTGAAATTAGTTATTTACCAAGGTCAGATAATCTTAAAAGATCTTGGTAATTTATGTAAAAGTTTGATCCCAATATAATAATAAAGTAACCATCAATATATCATGGTAGTGCAAGTAAATTCCTAAAGCACATAAGCTATAAAATGGATGTATTTAGCAAGAAGTTAGTATAGTAATAAAATGGACAGAGATGAAAAAAAAAAGTAATAGTCTGTTTGAAAGTTTTATTTTTGTAGTCTTTGTCAAAGCATAGTAGTTAACGTGAATATTTTTTGTTTGTTTTGTGGGGGTTTGATAATTATGCATATTGTATGATAAAGTGAGAGCATATATGTTTGAAATTGCTTAGTATACTTTTGACTTCATTGTTGTTTTTGAGTCTCAAAGCCCATATATTGTTTGTCAATATGGCTAGCTGTGTTGTCAGTATGAATCTTACTGCTGACTGGTTGAATTCATGGTAATACAGCTACTTGCAACTTTAGTGGTTCTGCTACCTATATATTTTTAATCTGATATTCAATACATATGAATGCCAGTAACTAGATTACTCAAGAATATTAGTTTGCAAGTGGTCAGCATTGTGGCAGCTCTTGTAGGTATTTTTTATATGGTTGCTTCATTTGTCCATTACAACTTTTCCATTTTTTGTCAAACTTGTTCAGATGTGGGATGAACTTATTAAAAAAATGTAAGAACCTGTTTAATGTTAGTCAAGCACAAATTGCAAAAAGTAAACATAATATTTATGTTGTAAAATTTTTCTAAAGGGTATTTTTTTTCTTGCTCTGTATATGGTAAGTTGCTTTCTTTTTATCAGCTTAAATGTTTGGAAGATGTTTGAGTGCAAGAATTTTCCTTTTTTTTTCCATTTAAAAGGCAGTTAGGTAGTGCTTAACTGTAATCTGATATAAATTCCTAACTGAGTGTTCTACAAGACATCAGAATAAAAATGTTGTTAAAAGATAATAAAGAATAAATTGACATGTCTAAATGAAAACTTTCAAGCTTATTTTCTGTAACATTTTGAGCAGATGCCTTTTGTCAGGCAGTAAAGTCTCTCTTATAATTGAATTAGGCTCAGAAATAGTCGTTTTTTAATGTGTAATGTTTAAAAGGGTTTTTACCAAAACCTATAGTAATCTAAGAAAGACCAGTGAAATTTAATAGATTCAGAATTCATTATTGTAAAAAAGGAGAAGCAGCCTAGTGGCAACCAAATGCATTATAGAATGAGGCAGTAGATTGATTGATGTTCATGTAGCAGCTATAGCAATATAAAATATTGTTCTTTAAACTTCAGAGGATAGTTTTGTTTGTTTTAGTTTTATCACTCTACAATTTTTGTAAAGCTTTGTAGTAACTTTTCTTTCATTCCAGAAGGTACTGAATGGACAGGTACTTGGGGAAAACACATGAAGTGTGTGCATTACAAAAGTATTAGAGAGTTCCAAAAGGTAGTTAATAAATGTATGATATATTTTTTAATTTTGCTGTAACAACTGATCGGGTCGAAGTGTGCATGTCGTGACATTTTACAGGGTCACAATCAAAATTTAATGAAGTAGCTTTTATTATCAGTACATTCAAATAACCTTGGCATGAAAACATAGTTTATAATTATGATTTTTATATTATCTAAGTTTTATAAAAATGTTCGTAATTTCAAAAAGAAATATTTAAAAAAATTTCAAACTTAAGAATTTTCCAATTTCTAAAATAAGCTGTTGCAGTTTGGAACTAATTAAAAACAAACTAATGAGCAAGAATGTAAAATTTGGAATCATACCTTCTTTATTTGATGAGATATCAACAAGTTTGTCGAACCTACCAGAGAACACCCTTCCTTCTCTCTTCAACTTTCAAAACTGTTTGCAAATAAATTTTTATGGCTGTTGAACAGTTTTATAACCAATAGAAAGAGCAGCATCTATTCTATATCAAGCTTAAAGCTGTACTTTTGAACTTAGCAGGGAGAGTATTCACTTGATAGAAATTTCTTGTCATTTGATCATGGTTTTACTGCTTGTAATAGCTAACAGAATTTTTTAACCTATTTATAGCTTACTTAGAAAGCTGGATAAATTATAGTAGTTTTGAGACATTTAGTTCTAGTGCTTCATATCTTTTATGTTCTTTGTGAGTCTCAATGAGGCCTAGGGAAGAAACTGATATTTTTAATCTAGTGCAGGCAGCTTTAATATGCAGTAAGTACTATAAATCCTTGATTTGTATGTATATTTTTTAACAAAAGCAACTAAAATGTAAAATTATAGACTTCTAAAATTACATTAACTAACTTGAAATATGACACTAGATCACTTAGCTCCATGGGAAACAGCTAATGGGCCCCTGGTGTGATTTATTACTTTTTTACACAAAGATTGCTATTTCAGTGATAAAAAATATGGCAATAAAACCATGAAGTTAAAAATATTGGGAAAAAAGGCTATCAGTTGAAAGTATTAAGATAAGTAGCTTGGAACTTTCTACTCAAATGCAACCAGTGTAGAGAAAAAATGGTTTTTAATTTTATTTCTTACTTTTCAACTTTTACTTTTAGTGTGCACTGATGAGTTTTCTACAGTTAGTATTAGGATAGAGAAAATAAGAGAAAAATTTTGGTACTAAATGTACAAGGCTCTAAAGATTATGCAAATGAAACATGAAACTGTAAGATGAAAATAAGTATTTTTATTTGTACCATGGAAATCACCGTTCACTCTGATTAAGTAAAAGCTTCAGAAATTCACAGACAAATCTTTAGTAGCATACTTTAGTAAAAAATAGGTTGTTTGTGTAATGTTTGCTAAAAGTTTGCCAAATTTTCTAAATGTACATAGTAAATTTAGAGTTACAGTATATGTAGTTTCACAGCTCCAAGGTTGTTCAAATTGACCAACTTGGTTTTTATAGAGTTCGTAAAATGTAAACTTCCAGTGTCATTGCTGTGTAACTTTTTTTATATATTTTAGAATATATATATATCAAATTATGGTAAAACACTATCGAAGTTATACTGCTTACCAGTAGCAATAAGGTTAGCCCCTCATAGCGGTATGAGTGCGGACTTACAACGCTAGAATCCAGGTTTCGATACCCATGGTGGGCAGAGCACAGATAGCCCATTGTGTAGCTTTGTGCTTAATTAAAACAAACAATAAGGTTAATCTTAGGTAATGGCCATGTTGGTATTAAAATAGGGCCCAATTGTAATAGCTTATGTTGAAACCATAAAATACAGAATTTAATAGTGATATTATATCATGTTAACAGAACCTTTTGAAATATTGTACATACAACATACTGCATGATGTTAAAAGAAAGCTAAATTAAAAGGATTTTATTGCCTTTCATGTAATTAATGAAAAACCTGCGCTTGAGACAAAAACATAAATATAAACCTTCTAATCCTTGATATTCTTGTACAGATTTCCTAATTGGCTATACTGGACACTTTCTTCTGAATGAGGCTCAAAATTTAAGGTTATCAGGCTGGCTATAACACACAGAGTCTGACTATTTCAAGTGTCACTTTTGTTTTTGCTGTTATAATGTATTAGATGTTCTTTGCAATTATGTTTTATAATTTTAGCCAGTAGGTGTCATTTTAATACATTGTTTTAATCATATAGCTGGAGTATTTGAAATGATGATAGAATAATAGTATAAGTAGGTAAGGAAAGCATACGTGATTAAAGTAAATTTTATAAACATGTTTTCATTGAAAGAATGAATCATTATGGAATTTAAGAGAGCTTTACTTTAGAGAACAAGGGAGAGCATTTGATATCATTTTGTATTGTATTGTATTTAGGCTTAGTTTGTTATTAGTTAATTTTCATCAGACTTTAGCTTGCTGTGAATACTTGAAATATGAAGTACTGTGTTTACTAAATAACTCTCTGCAGCATTTAACAATGGTGTTTTATTCTGAGAATTGGTCTTGAATAAACACCAATTATAAAAGGAATATTTTATGTTCTGGTAGGTGAATCACTTTCCTGGAAGTTTCCAACTGGGTCGGAAGGACAGACTGTGGCAGAACTTCAGAAGGATGCAAGCACATCATGGTGAAAGTGTTTTTGATTTTATTCCGGAAACTTTTATTTTACCCTTGGATTCTAGAAACTTGCGCCAGATTTGGGAACAAGAAGGCAAGCGACGCTGGATATTGAAGCCAGTAAGATATTAAAAACACTGGTTATTTTTTTTACTAGATTTCAATCAGAGGAAAATGTTTAAAATGTTTTTGGATACTTGTAATAAAAGTATCATTATACATACTTTTAAACTAGTTGAATGTTGTTGTTTTTGTTTATTGATCAGAGTCATCCAGATTTATTGGTATGTGTAAAAATCTTATTATCCACCCTATATTTGTTAGTTTTTCTGTGACTGGTATATTTTTAAAATACTTCGATCAATTTAGTTGTTGCTAGTCTAACTTTTTAGCATTTGGTAGTCAGAAATTCTAAAACATTCAGATGTAATTGTATAAATTGCTAGTTCAGAACTTTAAACTTGGCTGAGAAATAACAGATTTTAAGCACTAATAGTAAATCTCGGGGGAAGTTAAACTAACTAACTTTGTTACTAAGTGTAGCTGATGCCAGATGTCTGTAATACTTGAGTATAGTCAAAAAACCATGAAAAGTCACAACTTGTAATACATTATAAACCAATTTGTTTCTGCAATGGGCATGATCATTACCATCTTTTTCTCCATATGCTAACATCTTAGTAGGCTGAATGTAGCTTGGTGGTTAGCATGCCAGACTGTTGATCTGGGGTTCTGTAATTCTCACTAAAGAAAAGAAAAAAAATTGCACTTTGCATGTTATAAGAATGACAGTCACATCACACTATTCAATTAGAATAGCCCACAAGCTGCTGATGAGTTTGTAGACTAACTGCCTTCCTTGTATCTGTCATTTTAAAATTAGGGATGGCTGATGCAGACAGCTCTCAGGTATCTTTGGGCTAAACTCAACAAACATTTTTTGTTCAACTCCTTTGTAAATGATCAGATGTGTAATGAAACTATGGAGTGAGTATGCCATTACTGCTCTTTGACTGTATTTGTAATATCTGTTTATCCATTTTTTGCAACAAAAATTTTCTTAAAGGTAAATGTCAGTGCTTATATTAGATGTATGTTTTGTTCAACATTGTAATCTTGTTTTAACAGCCAGCATCAGCTCGTGGAACAGGAATTAGTGTTGTTTCAAAGTGGAGTCAGATTCCTAAGAAACAGCCTCTGATTGTACAAAGGTAGGTTATCCATTCTCTTACTTTCCTGACAGCTTTACAAGGAGATAATGGTTTGACATAAGAAATATTTAAATTAAGATATTAAAATATTTTGCAATTTTTTTTTATTGCTTTAATTTTTAGGTATAAACTTTTTTCAATACAATATATATATTAAGGAGCATATATTTTATGTACTTTTATTTAAACTGTGTACAAAAGCACCACAAAATTATTACAAGAATAACCTCCAAACAGATGATTTTAATAATTTTATTCTGATGATAGCCCTTTAAGGTAGAAATTGTCCTCTGTGTGTGTGTTTTGTTTTATAGAATTTTTGTAGCTTTTTAAATTAATTATATATATATATATATATATATATATGTGTGTGTGTGTGTGTGTGTGTATTTATATAGTATAGGTATGTTTTCCTTTTTTCCTAATGCTGCTTGAAATGTTCTGTTGAACTGTCTTAGTTATACATATTGTAAAGTTTTTCTAAACTTTATTGCTCTTTTTTTCATGTTCATCTTACACTTAGTTTTTTTTTTTGCTATGATCTATACGTTCTTAATTTAGAGAAAACTTGATTATAATTGCTAGACATGAAAATCTTGAACATAAAAAATTAAATGTCAAGCATTGTAGAAGGAATCGACTTTCATTAGGTGATAGGAGTGAGACACTATTTATGCAAGTGAACACACATCAGAGGGTACCATTAAAACGTATAATAATTAAAAGAGGGATTGACAAATAAACGGCAAAATTTTATAAGGTGCTAAGTATTTTAATATTTGACAGGTGATGCAATGTTAAAATATTTGTGAAGAGAGTTTAATATGTTATTTAATTTGATCATCAGTCTGAGATAACTGTTCTGCTACTGCATACCTTAATATATCAGCATATCTGTGGTCTTGTTTCTATTTAACCAGTTGAACTCCAATACTTTATGAAATTTGTTTGATATAGAAGGCTAATTTTTTTCATAAGGTGATCCATTAACCAATTTCACTTTATTATTTGGTTATTGCATTTTGATGTTAATTAACAAGCTTCAAAAAGTTGCCTAATTTGTATGCCTCTCAAGACTAGAGAGGTGCAGAATTGAATTAAATGTATTATATAGTTATGGTATTTAGTAGCTAAATTCTTCTTGACTTTGCAGGAGCTTGCTGTATTTTCTATTTTATTTTATCCATAACTGTAGGATAACACTTATTGTACCACATGTTAAACATTTCTATTGGACAAAAATGTGCTTGCTGTGTTAAATTTCTGTTGCTAGTTGAGTGACAGACAAAAATATCATTAACAGTGAGAGTGTTCAGTTGATGTTTCATTACATTTTATTCACTGTATATTGTTTTCTTGTGTAACAATTTGCATTGTGTACCTTTTGTCATTTTATTACATGGAATTGGCTTTGTTTGTTGATAAGTTATTTTATTGATTCTAATTTACAGTACTGTGGGAAAATGTTAGGACAAAATCAAAAATTAGATTTAAGACTACTTTCAAAGAGCAATGGAAGGTAAATCACACGTGAAAGATCAAAATTTTATTACTCTTCGTATTTAGTACAACAGAAACTCGGTGAAAGTGCTTGAGTTTAGCAAACAGTTAATATTTTATTAATATGTCCCCCTTTTGCTTTAATAACTGCAGACAGTCTTTCAGGTATTGTTGCAACATATTTAATCAAAGTGTCCTTTGGGATTTTACTCCAAATGTCTCTAATACACTCCCATGAAGTTTCTTTGGAAGTAACTTTTGATCTATCAAATCCCAAATCTGCTCAGTTGGGTTAAGATCAGGGCCATTGCATCATTTGAATGACTTCAGCAGCTTCTTTCTTAGCTAAGTTACTTCTGCATAGGTTGGATGAGTGTTTGGGGTCATTATCTTCTAGGTAGCAGAATCCTTTACCAATAATATGCAAACCACTGGTTATACCATGATGGATCAGTATCTGATGGTACTTGCGCTGGTCCATTATTCCATGTATTTTGCAAATATCTCCTGTTGCCTCAGCCAAAAAACACTCCCAAAATATCACACTGCCTCACTTATGCTCCATGGTAGGTGCTATGCATTGAGATAAGTATCTTCCGCCGTACGTACAACCTACGCTTTGAACTAAATATTTCAAACTTGGACTCATCCATTCATAACACCTTTTTCCAATCATCAAAGGTTCAGTTTTGTACTTTTTAGCAAATTACAGTCTCTTGACAATATTTGGAGATCGAAGTAAAGGTTTTTTAACTGCTACATGACCATATATTCCATTTTTGTTGAGTCTTCTTGATAATGTAGATCTGGACACTTTTTTGTCATTTGGTACATGGTCGTTTATCTCATGCTTGAGATTAGTGGTAGTCTTCATTCTGTCCCGAAGGCTACATAAACTAAGATACTTAACATCAGCATCACTGAGTATAAGTGTTCTGCCTCTTCCTTTCCTATTTTCAAATTTACCTGTCTCGGTCTCACGAGCTAGGGTGTACTTGACAGTGTTTGGGGAGCCTGCAGCAATTTGTCAGAGAGTCCAACCAGCATCACATAAAGTTTTTATGCAAACTCTGCTCTACTGACAATTCTCTACGCTTTTGGGGCTGTGGCATGACAACAAAACTTAATATATAGTGTTAAACACTGTTTTTATCAACATTTATTTGTGGAGTGCTATTAAATTGATTTCTTCTGGCATATACCACTACCATATGCTAGTTTTTGCTAGCTTCTTTCTATATAGTTAAGACACTGCATGGGGTACCATGACAATATTTCATACCTTAAATTTTATCAGTATGTTCATTCAAGCAGAACTCCTATGACATACCCATGGTACAAGTATATGAGAATTCTAAAGAATGATAAGTATTCTCACCCTGGCTCATTCAATTGTCAACAGGGAACAGTGAAGCAGTACCATACTGTTTAAATATTAAATTCTGTAATATTTGGAAAAATTTGCCTCATAAAATGGAAAGAATAAAAAAATATTCTCTTGTCCTAACACTTTTGCACAGTATTGTTTGTTGGCTTATTTTTGATCAGAAGTTTTAAAAATAAACTGTAATGAAATAATTGGTATTGAAATAAAATAGATCCTTTTTTTAAGTAATCAAATTATTACTGATATAAATAAGCCTAACTTGATATGTTATGAGGTAGAAATTGATACATTATGATTATATTGTGAACACATTGTACTTTCTAGAAGCTTTAAGATTTGGTAATATTTCTCACAAATGTCTGATTATAGATGTTAAAATAAATTTTACATGTTTTTGTAATTTTCTGGGAGTTTATTTGGGAACAATAATTTTGATTGGCAATTAAAAAAAAACTCTCCAGTAAAATATTCTCTCACACAACTTATTTAACACAAGTTATTCATTCCTTAACAGTCATTTTAGTTTATTTTATTTTCTTATTCTGAAATCTTTTATCCTGGTAGGTTTTATTTTACTTTGATGATTGGATTAGTAGGAAATTACTAAAACAATTAGTTTTCAAGAAAACCAAATTATTGATACACAGAATATTAAAAAGTTGTAATTATTTTCAATTTTATCCCAGGTATATCTCAGAACCCTATCTAATCAATGGAACAAAGTTTGACCTCAGGATCTATGTCTTAGTAACAAGCTTTGACCCTTTACGTATTTACATTTTTAGTGATGGACTGGCACGGTTTGCTTCTGTAAAGTGAGTATCTTTTTGTTATTAAACTTTTATGTCTGCATAATGAATTTTTTAAGTAAATGAGTGACTGAAGTATTGATTCATAATGTGGTAAGATCTGACAAAATCATAAAGTGGCCAAACATCATATGAAATATGCTTGTTTAAATTATACTACATTTTCTATGCATATTTTAACAGAAAAGCTAGAACGTAATAATATTAATTACTAATATCTAAAGTATTTTAAATACAGTGTTAGGTGCTTTTTAGTGTTTTCAACAAATTGTCTTTAAATTTTTATTTCTTTTCTTTCAAGATACTCTTCAGCGATGCGTAGTCTAGGGGACAAATTTATGCATCTTACAAATTACAGTATTAACAAGAAAAGTGCTTCATATGCTTCAAATGAGGATGAGAAAGTGTGCCAAGGCCACAAGTGGTAAGTGTTGCAAATAAAATATATATTCTAATTTTTAGACATGTTTTATTTAATCCTTTCCTATTTGTCATGAGATATTTTTGAAATGCATTAGTCATCTACAAGAATTTGTAAAACAGCTTAGAAAAATTATAAGCTTAGCAAAAGAATAGGATTGAATTATGAAAAAACACAGTACTGGAAATAATTATGGAAACACAGAATGAAATGAGTATAAAATACAAATATTTTCCTCCCATCCCAGAAAGTACAGTCACTTGTTGATAGTTGACATTAATTGATTATCATTCAACCTATCAGACAATCCACACAAATATAACACCTATAAAAATACAAGCAGTCATACTATTACTAGCAGTACAGTGGTAAATTTATTACTCAAGGCTCCCAGCACTGAAATGCAACATGCAAAACTTGTATAAAGCAAAGTTTTGGTTGTGGAGGCTACTCCATACAACAGATTGAAATGAAAGTTCATATTTCATTAAGATCTACGTGGAAACTCTTAAAAAGATACATGAAAGTAGTACTGTTGATAATAGGAAGCAGTCAAGTTACTCAACCACTGTCCATGACCTGATTTGGGGCGAGATGGTGTCCTTCGTATAGAAGTAAGTTTATATAAGGGAGTGTTTCCAAAAATGGAAAGAGGTGGGTGGTACCATGAGCAATATCTCAGCAAATTTAAAAGACAAGGGGCTCTTATTTTATATTCTATCTTGTCAATATTGGTAATTTGAGTTTCTAATTCATATGAAACTATAGACTTAGTATTTTGACATCTAATTTGAACCAGTGCTGCATTCAACATACCACGTGACACACAAAAATCGACATTTATCCGTGTTTTTAATATTTACTTTTAAATTAAGAAATTTAGTTATATATAGTACTAAAATTTGAATTATAATATAAAGTATGATACTAAACTTATTGACATAAATTCATGAAATAATAGTTCAATAAAATTTTGAATGCGAGTCAACAAATGAGATGACATGGCCTTTCACTTGTGACCTGTCTTAAAAGGGTTAAATAAAAAGTATTCTTCACAACAGGAACATGACTTTCACTAGGACTGTATGTGAGGGTTTGATTATATCTTTATTGGTGTAATTTGTAAATAAAGAGTACCACTTTTAATATAAAAACATTACAGTTTATATTAACATGATCCAAGCACTATTCCTGTGCAATACTTCCCCCCAAAAAATTTTTTTTTTAGAAAATCTTCACTTTTTTCTGAATTTTTTTTTCAATGAGGCATGAATACTATAATTAGTAATTATTAGCACAAACAGTTGCTCGTAGTGTGGTGTTTCTGCTAGTTTTAATGAATGAGAGTATATTACGATATTTCTCAAAGGGTTTCTAGTGCTGGTTACGATAAATTAAACCCCTGCAGAATTGAGAAAAACGCTAAGATATTTTATGAAGCGGACATGCTGATATACCACAAGGGAATGACATCTTTGTACAGGCTGCATGCCAGTTAGGTGTAGCTTTATTAAGACAAAACATTGAGCCATAAAAAGTGCAAGGACAAATAGGTATTCGTGCTGTATTATTTTCAGGCATACCAGTTAAATCGTCATATGTATTTTCTGTAGACTTCCATGTTTAAATTTCTCAAATGGGCAGTTGTCCTTGCACAATTGATGGTTTTGAAAGATGTAATAAGAGGAGTAGAACAACAATAACATAGTGCAAAAGTCTTTTGTAGTGGAAGTTTACTGTAAACCAATATCCAAAAACATCACACGAAACACCATTTTATGTTGGAAGAAGGACTGCAAAAACCTATGCACGTGTCTTTGCATTTTTACCATAGATTGTGAGGACTCATCTGTAAGCATGATTTAGTGCTGGACAAAAAAATAAAGCCCAGCAATTCAGCACTGTCTCGTCATAGTTTTATTTATGATTTCCATTTTTATTTCAGGACATTAAAGGCTCTGTGGGGCTATATGAAAGAGAATGGTGTTGACACTACAACTCTTTGGGATTCTGTGGTGGATGTCATCATCAAGACAATAATCAGGTGAAATTAAATAATATCTTAGTGAGTTGTCTTGCTAAGTGTAGAATGTAGCAATATACAGTAAAAAATGGCTACAGTATAACATGGCCCGGCATGGCCAGGTGGTTAAGGCACTCGACTCACAATCTGAGGGTCGCGGGTTCGAATCCCTGTCACACCAAACATGCTCGCCCTTTCAGCCATGGGGGCTTTATAACGTGACGGTCAATCCCACTATTCGTTGGTAAAAGAGTAGCCCAAGAGTTGGCGGTGGGTGGTGATGACTAGCTGCCTTCCCTCTAGTCTTACACTGCTAAATTAGGGATGGCTAGCACAGATAGCCCTCGTGTAGCTTTGCGTGAAATTCAAAAACAAACAAAACAGTATAACAATATGGATTCCAGTTTGAACATCAATAAAAATTTCAACTTTAAGGTTAACTTTCTTTTGTTGAATTTTGTCCTGCTAATAATGGTATAGTCTTCAAACCTGGTTGTACACTCAACAGAGTATAACTCCAAAGTTTTATTTGTTTATATCCCAGTAAAGTTAACATAATTTTTGTGTATCCTAACCACCAAATCTGATCAGAGATCCCTAAAACATCAAATAATCTTACTTATAATCAAACATATTAGCCAAAACATTCACATTTTTCAGTTGCAAAAACTTAGCTAAATACCAAGTTGTAGTTTGTGCTTCAAGTTCAACAACTTCTTTTTTTAATAATATTATCTGGTGACTGTCAAGTAAAGTTTACTAAGGCCTTAAATAAAAGTTTTCTTTTGTTACTTGTACTCTCATGTTCCAAATAATCATACCTGTACAGTTATTAGTTTTAGAGAAATTATTCACCCTGCACAATGCTTTAGTCCACATGTATTTTTTTT